GGATTTGTAGAAAAAAAATTAAAATTCAAACACTATCGGACATCCGTGGTCGTCAAATCGGCTCAAATTCAATCTGAACTGTTTGACTCATTTTTTTCTTGTGAGCCCTCTGGCTCACAGGATCATTTTCCACACACACACACACACACACATATATATATATATATGGTTATCTTAAGGCGCTCATATTATGGAGTAATTTATCATTGTATTTATCAAATTTTGGATATTTATATATCTTTGTTTTGTACATGAAATATTTTTTTAATAACGGTATTTTTAGTCATTAGGAGGATTGTGATGTCATCCACATGGAATGTGATATCACCCACGAAACACAAATGCTCGATATGGGTGATGTCACACTCCATGTAGATGACATCGCACCGCCCTAAAAAATACATTTACTAAAAAAAACTATATATACAAAACAAGAGCATTGAAGTGTCTAAATTTTGTTAAGTACAAAGTATGAGCACCCTATATTATATATAAGGAATGAGTCCGTGCAAAAGTTGTATAATAATATAATGCAACCATACCTCTAGAAAGCCTCGTTTTTAGCATTTGTATGACTTCAAAATTTGCACACACATTTTCTTCATCTTCATAATCGATCCTACAAAAAATTTCTTCATCTTCATAATGAATCCTACAAAAAAAAAATTCATTTTGCACCATTGATATGTTCAAAATTAGTACCCTCCAATAATGAATTAGGATTGTTTATTTAGTAAATTTCAAGATCTAGGCCTTAACAAATTCAAATTCATTTTTTTCTTTTTTACCATTGTTAATCTAATGATGATAATGCTATATAAATTTTTTGGGAACTAACAAATCCATCTCAGGCTTATATCTAACCATCTCATTAAAATTGACGGTTAATATTAATTGAGCTAGAAAAACACTTTTTATGACGTTTTTTCAAAATTTTCTTTTTAGTGATTGTTCTTTAATATAAAAAAAGTGAACATTTAAAAATTCATATCAAACAAATGTCTCTAACATGGTTTTTTAAAATGATTGCATTATACTACTATACAACCATTGCATAAAAATTATTTTCATATATATATATATATATATATATATATATATAAATAAAGGGTTAGTCTAGAATTCAGCAGTGATTTTAGAAAAATCTACTCCCAAAATTTCAATAGTGAGTTGCCCTAAAAATAATTAAAATTACATCAAAATATTCTTTATTGTGAAATTATAAAACGGTAATTTGAAGTAATTGTTGATCCCTCCCTAAATTTACGTGTTCTTCCTTTCCACCGCCCTTTCTCGTCACTCCATCTCCTCCAGCGAGAACTCTCTCTCTCTCTCTACTAACATACTTAAC